TGGATAGCGCTATCCGACGTTTGAACAACCGGGGCCAGAGCTTTTTCACTTTTGGAAATGTGTAAAACAATATCGTGACGTTACAGCATGGCGGGTTAGAGATATCCTCGAGCTGATTCGAATTGGTGTGGAAATCTGTTGTGTTTCGCGTTTTTCCCGCAGCAGTCTTTACTCGCCTTTTAGTAATACAACAACGAAGAGGAAATGGTAGACGACTTGTGCATAAGATGACGAATAATGGATTTGAAATGTTGGAGAAAGCGAGATTTATCTTTTGATGTACGTGTCAATTTTGCGTGTTATTTCGATAGACGTATCAATTTGGAATATCTCTCTTAAAAAACATTTTTAGGTCTTAAAAAAATCCTCTGGACATTCTCGAGGTATTCTGGTTGTTTCATGTGAAACGTGGAGATGAGCCTCACTTCTGGTAGACGGGACGCGAGGTTTTTTTGTAAAGCATTCGTCCGTGGCAAAATGACCGCCTTCTTAATATTTTGGACGATATCAAGCGTTTTTTTTCCCGGCGTTGTCCACCGAATAACAACTGCCATCAGAAAATTTGCGAGATCGATATGGGTTTCTGGTTATTGTCGTTATTGACCTTTTACATGTTATTCCTGGGATTATTTTACGCACTGCGGTGAAAAACCTGAAGACGTCGGTAGTCCTAGCTTGCCAGCACGCCAGGATGAAATAACTCCGCGTGGACAGTACGGGTAGAAGCTTCTGAGATCGGCCCGCTCTATCGTGACTATCGCTATTTATCCCATGCCAACAGATATTAACAAAAAGTTTCTCTTTTCCTGCAAACGGTTCATCCCGGCGAGTAATAAAACGGTTCATAACTTTCTTTCATATTTGAATCTTTTCATCGCGTATGGTTGACTATCTTGAGTTATGACTCTTGTCACTACAGAAAGTTCATGAAAACAAGCCTCGCGTGATGTGACTCCAAATTTGCTCCGTGATTGGGTAATTGCTCGTTTTGGTTCGCGGATCAAAACACTTCCAAAAGTGGAAATGCTCTTGCCAGGTCCTAGCCTGCGTAGCAAGCGTTTCTGTGCGGTTTAGGAGCAAAGAATGAGGAACAAGAGTCAAAGACCGCGCGAAAAATGGCGCAAGTAAAAAAGCGGGGAGGGGTTGGTTCCCGTTTCATTTCTCGAGCTGTCACAACCGAAAATCCCTTTCCACGGTCTATTTTTGCTCCGAAACCAAACGGAAACGCTTGCTACTCAGGCTAGCCTGGTCCTTGGACGGCGTTTTCCCAGTCCCTCTCGGTCAATTCACTTCGGTGACGTATCCGAGGCGAACAGGCGGGAAACGCTTAGACAAAAACAGAATGCGCGCTCGTGCGTTGCTTTTTAAAATTTAAGCTTTTGTCAGAACCTAAAAGTAAAAATCCTATATAAATTCGCCGACATTCGTAGAAGTGATCTGTAATGTGAGAAGCATTAAATTCAATTTTGACCTAATTTATCAATGAAAGAACACACAACAACAGACAGAGAAATTATTTCTTGAAACGTTTTAGTAAGAAACCCATAAATTAATCCTTTAAAGCAATTCGCGTAACACGGCAAACTTAGGCACTTGGCTCGTGGATCCGTTCACGCAAGAGAAGTTGGCTGAGCACATGACAAAAATTATTCAATTACAAATCTCAAATTACCCATCAGGGCACTCAAGTCCGATCTCACAATGTATGAGAAGTCTAAGATGAAATATTTACAAATACACAAATTTCCTTTTAAAAACGTAATTTTCTTGGCTATAGATCAAAATATACTTGAAAATTCTTCAAAAACTTGGCTCCTTCCCGGCTTGGTTGCGTTTCTAAACGGTCTAGCCGCTCCGATCGGCCGTGTAGAAAATTTCGCGAATTTCAAATTCCTCGAACGACAAATTTGTAATAAAAGCCTTCCTTTGTCCACAAAAAGAAAACTAAGCATTCTTTTGAACTTCCCTTTCCCAACTGCGTCTTTTAGCGGCGTATTTTTTAATCTTGAAAAGATAGACACTGGTCTTGTAAAATACCGCATGAGCTATCTCACTTTTGTCTCACTTTTGAGGAGTTCTATCTAGGCCTCACAGCTTCGCGTTCGGACCACGTGACTCGAAACGCTTTGGCCGCGAGGAAAAAAGGGCCTAGGGATTAGGCAAGACTAAAAGCGCAGGTCCCGGTTGTTCAGAAAGCTGGATAGCGCTATCCATCGGATAAATCTCTATCCAGTGGATAAGTATTAAGGAAGCCATTTGCACTATCCACTCGATAGACATTTATCCAGTGGGTAGCGCTATCCACCTTTTGAACAACTAGAGCTTGGACTGGTAAGTTACGTGCTTAATGACGTACGTGATCATCTTTGATTATAAGGTACCATTCATGTTTTTGACAATATATTTTGTGTTAAACAAGTAAGTTAAATCACTCTCCAGAACTTTGTTAAAAAATAAGGCCATGAAAGTACTTTATTACAAATTCCAATAGCTTACGTTATTACAAATTGCGATGGACAGTTACTACAAATTGTTACAGCTTTTTCCGTGCAAAGGTTTATTGTGACAAGACTTTACAAAGTGCGATGTATCTATTACAGATTGCGTCGCTTACAAAGCGCGATAAGTTATGAGAAATTACCACAGTAAACAGTTCTTCCAATGAAATTTTAATGATATTTTAATGACTCTACACACGTTCGATATGATCAAAGTTCCAACATGATCCTGACTCCGAGGTTTTCTGGTCATATCTCTATATTGGCCTATTTTGGTTTGCTTTTCTTTGTGCTCAAGTCTTCTGGGAATTACGAGACCAAAGACTCGTGGAAAATTTGCAATTTTGGCGTATGTACTGTTAAATTGTAATCTCTTCTCAATTACTCTATTGCCAGATGCCGCCTTAATCTTGTAAAAAAAATGTGACGCTTTACCGAATAACTGACCCCTGATGATTGGACCAAATAGTAAAGAAACTAATAATTATTACTTTTCGCAGTAGGAAGTTTATTGCTTGTCACTCAAACCCTAGCGTCCTTAACAACGCTAGCGTCCTGTGGTGTGCAAAAAGAAGTCGTATGCGGGTTCTCATGTCCTCTGGGAATTACGAGACCACAGACTAGTGGAAAATTTGCAATTTTGTCCGTAAAGCGGAGTAATGTGAGTATTTTAAATCCCAATTAAAATAGATAATTGCCCCTGGATAGTTGGTCTGGTTTATGTCATAGGTTCAGCTAGTGTCGTATTTCGGCTATAAATTGATAGTATTTTAGGGTGTCATTCATTGTCTTCCTGTGAGTTCAATAGTTCAATAGTTGGTTTGTGTCGCTTGCCGTCTACCTTCTTCCCCTCCCACCATTCCTTTTTTTAGCAGTATTCAATTATGATTGTTGTAGCAATTATAGCCTGCGTAGCATGGCGTTTTTATCGGGAGCACTACCAGGGTGGACAAAGGCTGGGCCGTGAAACAAGCGCTCCGCTCTTCAT